AAAAAAAAAAAAAAAAAAAAAACAATTTGCAACTTTGAATCTCGATAGTAATGCAGAGCTGATTTGGAAGATCGAAGAAGCAATCTATTCCTAAATCAGACTTACCCTGTGAGCAGATCCGTTTTTTGGTCTGCTCCGATACCAAAACTGTTGCATATTTGTGAGTACTTCAACAAGTATGGGCAGAACCAAGAGATCAACCAATATAGGATGAGCATGTCAGCGGAAGTCTGATAAATGGACTGACTCACATAGATTGATGCACACAGATATCACTCCACACACAAACAATCGTGAGATGGTGGGGTCTGAGCCAATCACAGACGATAATGAGGTCCCGTACACACATACACAGATGAAAGGTGGGAGGAGAGACGAAGGAGGTGGGAGATGTAGGCAGCGCCAGATGTCACCGAGATAGAATCCAGTAGGTCACCGATATGGTAGTCCAAAATGTCATCAAACAAGATCAAAATGTCGTGGACAATAAGTCACCAATGTCGGAGGTACAGAGTCCTAATGTAACCGGTTTCCAATCTGTGATGCCGCCGAGTATCAACCCCAACAATCTCCAAGTCTCGACTCCGGTAAGTATCACAGCCTCCTACCACCGAAATCCAACACTGATCTCTGTCCAACTAGTATCGAGTCCCCAATCTGAAGAAGAAGAAGAAGTAGTCTGAAGAAGAAGAAGAAGTCTGAAGAAGAAGAAGAAGAAGAAGAAGAGAACAGCGGAGGAGAGAGGTGAGGAGGAGAGGAACCAGGGACGGTGGAGGGAGGAGACGACCTCACCCCCGAGTACCTGGTTTACCGCAACTGCCTGAAACCGAAGTCGGCTATGGCTGCTCACTGTCTGGCTCCTCGCTCGCTGCTGCTGCTGCGCTAGCTGCACTGCTGCTGCTCCTCTATGTTGCGCTAAGAATAGCGCTGGCGCTCCTGCTGTAGAACCGACACGAACTGGCGCTCTCTCAGCGTCCAGTTGCTCGATGCCTCACAATGAGGCTGGACCGGTCTTTAGTACCGGTGGAAACGAGGCCGGCCTCAATGCTGCGAGGCCTGGCCGTGACCTGAACCGTCGAGATCGTTGGTTCAGATCAGACCGACGGGCAGCAGCCTCAAGAGCGCCGCCAGGCCCAAACGGTAATGTCGTTTGGGCCTGCCAGTCGGGTCTGGTCCAAAATGCGGCCTTTCGGCCTGCTGTACCCCCAAGTGTGGGCCTTTAGGCCCTACTGTGTCCCCTTGGCCCTAAGTCGAGTCCGGTAGGACCTGTGTGGCGTCGAAGATGTAACACCTACCCCCGCTCCTTGAGTGTTTTCCCCGCTGCAACCCTCAAAGTCACGGCCATAGGTAAGTACCAGCCCTGCTGGGCCTTTCAACCAACAAGTACCCTTGAGGGTCACACACACAGTCAGCCGACAAGCACTCAGACAGGCACGCAAACCAGCAGGCATGCACACACATTGTGGCATACTACGCATCCACACGGGCCTGCAGGGCCCGACCAGACGGAAAATAAGGGCCCCCAGGCACTGTGTCGTTTCAGCCTAAAAGCCTGAAAACGAGGGCCATTTTCAGGCCCTCACAAAGTCGACCTGCCCTGAAACGAAGGCGCCAGACCAGGGTTTAGCACAGGCCATTTTTGGGCCTGTTTCAAGACAACCTTTGTTTGAACTTCAACGCCAGGGTCCGACACATTCGGCATTGGCAAGAGCAGCCTCCCGGACGGGCCAGCACTATATCGAACTGGCCCCAGGGAGTTCATAGGGACTTCCCAGGCAGTTCATGGGCACTTCATGTGCAGGAGGCAGGAGGCAGGAGGCAGTCTTCAGGATTCGGCAGCAGCACTCTGGAGGAGCGCTGCAGTAGTAGTAGGAGCGTTGGGAGTAGTCTTCAGCGCTGGGCGCTATTAGGAGCTAGAGTAGCGTTGGAGAGATAGAGAGGGTTGGCGGACGCCAGCGAGACTTACCTGTGACGCCATAGCTCCAGCTTCGTGTTCGATGTACCTGCAACTAGGCGCCACCTTCACAGGTTACCGAACTGAGAGAGAGAGAGAGAGAGAGTTCTTTTTCTTCCTCTTCTAAGTCCACCATCTCTCTCTCACCCTCTCGCCACCTGACTTCTCAGTATTTGCAGACTACGAGAGAGAGAGAGAGAGATTGGTGACTTCGGGACTTGACAGCATTTGGATTCAAACTCGACATTGGGATTGAAACATTGGACGAGGGATTATTTGGGACCTGTACCGAAGACTCGGTGTTGACGACATTCCCATCTTCCCCTCTTCTTCGTCTAATCCCCGTCCTCTTCGTCTGTGTATGTCTGGGACTTGCGCATTCTTCTTGTGTGAGCGCCAGGTCCCTTCACACCATGCGATGATGATGATGTATGCTTGGTCTGCATTGCGACATTGATTGGTCGGATCATTGGTATATTAGCCTTCCGCTGTGCTATCTTGTACTATGTGAGAGAGGTCGGTTCTTGTTCTGGTCTGCACCGTTATGGTATGCGACGGTTTGGTATCGGAGCGGACCTCTCAATTAGAGGATCCGCCCAATCAAGGAGCCAGGTTGCTTGATCGACTGATTGTTGAATGATTGAATGATTGAATGATTGATTGATTGATTGATTGATTGATTGATTATTAGTGAATCAAGTAGGGCTTCGTCAAATCTCTGCAATTTTTTTTTCTTTCTTGCAACTTCGGATATTAGCATTTCGTTTTCTGATTCACTCTGGGCATATTAGGTGAACTAGGGAGGTTGTCCTATTCTCGGACCGGATCTATTCTTCTCTGAAAGGGAAACTCCTGTTTATTTCGTGCAAATTTTTTTTTTTTCAAAATTGCATTTTTTTTTGAAACCTGAAACTTTGCGAAACCTTGCCTAGATCTCGCTCATAGTACTCCTCTGTAATGCCTCACTGATAGTCGATCGACAGATATTCAAAAAAAAAAAAGAGGGACGGATCCACTTCTTTTATTTTATTTTTTATTTTTATTCTATTGATGAGGACCGGGAGGAAAGTACAGTTTGGTTGGTCGGTGTTACATGCTGCGCCTACATGCTGTGCCTGCAAACGAGGGCCATTTTCAGGCCCTGGGTCTTTTCAGCTTGAAAGCCTGAAAACAAGGGCCTACAGGCCCTGTGTCGTTTCAGCCTAAAACAGGGCCCTCCAGGCCCTGAGTCTTTTCAGCCTGAAACGGAGGGCCATTTTCAGGCCCTTGTGAGATCGACCTGCCCTGAAACTTAGGCACCAGACCAGGGTTTTAGCACAGGCCATTTTGGGCCTGTTTTCAGGACAACCTTTGTTTGAACTTCAACGCCAGGGTCTGGCACGTTTTGGCATTTGGCAAGAGCAGCCTCCTGGACAGGCCAACACTATATAAGACTGGCCCGCCCTGCAGGCTGCAGGTAGTTCATAGGGGACTTCCCACGCACTTCACGTGCACTTCAGGAGGCAGGAGGTAGTCTTCAGGATTCGGCAGCAGCACTCTGGAGAAGCGCCGCAGTAGTAGTAGTAGCATTAGCAGTAGTCTTCAGCGTTGGGAGAGAGAGAGAGATTTGGCAGAGGCCAGGGAGACTTACCTGCAACGCCATAGCTCCAGCTTCGTCTTCGAGCTACCTGCAGCACAGCGCCATCTTCAGAGGTTAGTACCTGGCACATGACACACACACACACACACACACACACACACACACA